GTCTCTCAAATATGAACGGAACGGGGACGTGTCATTGACAATGACTTGTACCTATTTGTAATTGATTCTTTTATTTTGTTTTGTAAATTACAAGTGTACATTATTAGGTAAAATAAATATTTGATTGATATGAAATGTCACATCTAGAACCGTGCTTGTCAAGCAATTGTCAAGCATGAACGTTGTCAGATTCGTTCGTTTTTTTTTTTTGTTTCTTTCCTACCTAAAGTTTCTTGACCAATCAAAAAACATAATTCACGCAATGGTGAGATGATTATCATAGATCACCTATTTGACCCAAAGATGCAATCAGGTTCATCAAACAGACCCTAAAATTTTCAAACAGTTGGAAAATTTCGACTTTTGAAAAATGGTTTGCCATACTACATTGTACAACATGCCAACATTCGTGAAAATAGTATGATTCAACTAAAAAATATGATTATTTTGGATATTAGATGTTTTATTTTTTCGAAAACGAGTGAAAAATATGCTTTTCGAATGCATGCCTGGTCAGGACAATTCCCAGTCTGGAGTGATTTCCAAACAGTTCGAAAATTTCGGGATAACGTTTTTTGAAAAGTTTGTTTGCCAAACTAAAACACGCCAAAGTTCTTGATAATACTATGAACAGCAGATGTTTTTATTTTTAAAAACTGGAGAAGAGATGAGTTTCTGTTAATAATAAAACTTGCGGGCAAGTTTACACTGATCAACATTTCTTATCAAACAGCCGCCTGCTGGTTGGCATAAATGCAAACGTCGCAGTGAGATGCTTATTATACTACAGTGATGGCGAGTAGTTAGTGTTGACCAACCATACGAACTGGACAAGACGTTGACCACAACCACGGTAAGTTTGTTATGGCCAGAGAATGAAGAAGAAAGGTCTTCTGCTGCTGAATTAATGGCTACACTGATTGATTTTCGGGAACCAACAACACAGGAGTATTTTTCTAAAAGCCTAAAAGGGTGATTTTTTTATGCTGCAACATTGGTTTTATTGCCACTGCTATTAAAACACTGGAATGTCCTCTCGATAATATTGGATTCCAATACGGTACTAAATAACGCGTGTACTTTTCAGAAGCAACACATCATCCAAACAGTTTTTGCAATAATTCAGTACACATAAAACGCTGGTCGTGATGATATTCTGTGTTTCATTCAATCAAATATTTTATTGAAATAAAGTTACACCATGGTCACACACAGGCACACATATCATCCACATGTTAACGTTGGAAACATTGACACAGCTAGCATTTAAATTCTAAGTGACACTGATCAGTCCCTCAACCAAGCAGAAACCTGCTTTTAGGGACGTGCCAATTCTACAAGTGAATTGTATGTTACACCATTGGTTAGAAACTCAGTACACCGCATATGAAAACACGCAAATGGGTTTAACAAGAATAAAAACAAAGTGCGCACTGATACACATTAAACATGTTCTCACACAGGTAATCAACATCTGATAACCAACATCTGTGTAAAAGTACATATTCAGTGGACATCAGAGTCACTAAGGTTCAAAGTGTGATGTGTGAATGTGAGGTGTGCCCTGTTGGTGCACCGATAGTCGTGCCCAGTAACTTACATCAAGCCCATGTATGTAAGGGACGATGTCAAAAAATTGATGTCTGATAAAAAACTTATTTGCTTTAGTTTGGGGGTGGGAGGATTTTGACCTCAAAAAGTTTCCATCCTACAAAAACTATTTTATTTTTTAATGAAGTCAAAATAATCTTGGAGTATTTGTAGTTTTTTTTATTTTTTATCCAATCATGGACAAAAATAACAGAAAATGAAAAAAAAAAACATTCATGACTGTGACTAAAACTATAGTCGACCTGCCAGATTTAAAAAGAGAGTTAGTGCGTAGGTATAGTTGATAAGCTAAATAATTTCCATTGGTGCCACATGTAAGGCAGATATATGGAGGTCATCACTAGGGTGGATGTACATGTTGAAAGTGGTGCAGTTTTTTTCTATGACGTCGTATGTAAACAATACCACATGAAAATATGCTAATATCAGAAAATTGGAAGGAAATAAACAACTCTCACTATTTAATAGTAAATAGCTATTAAAAGTAAATACAACTTAGTAATAAAAAATAATGAAAAATGACCAAATTTGGTAAAAATTGCATGTTTTACACTTGTAGTTTGAAGAAATGACATGAATTATCAACACATTCCCTTCTACATATAGTGTAATCCATTTAAATAGAATACGTGTACCTAAATATAAATATTTGAAAGGTAAAAAAAATAAGTGACCCTATCATTCAAGATTTTAAGTTTATTTAGAAGTCACAAAAGGGTCACACTCTGAAAACTAGTTCATTATCGGTTGAAAGCATACAGCTAACAAACCTGACGATGAGTATACCCATGCAATACAGAATGTTAAAATATAAGCATATCAACTATTGTATTGGAGAACCACAAGCGATGTCATGCAAGAGGAAATGCAGCTTGACGAGATTATGAATCATAACACAACAGTAGACATAATATGACACTATATCATGTATAGTATTTAATAGGCAAAACACCAACAAAAATGTACACATGGTAAAATAATATTCAGTAATAACATTTTTATGAACCAATGTGCAATCTTTAATATCTAATATATCTGATTTCTGACCTAAAACTATGGAACTGCAAACTGATTCAAACTATGACACATTACTGTTCATTGCAGTAGGTTTTTTTTTATAAAACTTGCGTTTTTACCTTGCCCGTACCATCAAATATGGAAGGGAAAGGTATATTAAGGGAAAAATTTTGTCCGGCATTGTCGTCGTCATCGTCGTTGTCGTTGTTAATAATTGTTATTGTGTGCATAATTACTTTACTAAATTCACTACGTTCAATTACCCACCATAGACTCCGGTCAGTCAAAATGACTATTTTGAACTGTGGGCATTAATCAGCGATTCTGCCGGTGACGGAGAGAGATAGAATCTAGGTCACGGGAAGCCCCATGACCTCAAGATTCTTTTATCCCTTGCGTCACGAACCCACGTGACCGAGGCCACATGGCATAAAATCTAGCAAGCTCTGCTGAATCGCCTGCTTTTTTTTTCCTGTCCGGGCTTATAGCTTGGGTTGTTGCCGCTGCACGGCATCCGACATTGTAGCTGGTAGGATAAGTTTTCCTTGTCATTTTTACCCTCGTGTCGTTTTCCACTTTGTGTGTAGTAATTTTCACAACAAAGAAATTAAAACCCGGCGCCACTACGTAACCAGTTGGTTTTCATGGCGGCACCTTTTACAACTGTAATTTGTTTCCCTCATGCATGTCGTCTTTTATTTACAATGTATTTAGCAATATACAGATGTAATGACAGCAACAGGGCTCGCTGCCGTTTTCTTTCCTGTCTTCTCGTGTTTCGAGTCGACCGTGCAGTGGTTATATTCAAAATTTACTCCAAGTACTTGCTTTGCATGTGCAACATGTAAGAACATCCCAGAATCTGCTTCCTCATGATCAGCCTCTAATTCTGGTATTGCATGATGATTGCCAGGAACTATTCTCACTGCCTTTCTGATGTCGTGGAACCCACAAGAAAGGTACATGTATACCTTATATCCTGAAGAAAGCCTTTCTTCACATTTCACAATCCAGTCATTCATTAGGAAATTGAGTCATTTTATACAATGAAGCTGAAAAGATTATTCCTGACTTTACTAATCTCATGCCTGAAAATAAATTCATAAAAATAATGTCAAATAATAACTTAACAATTCCTCTGGCACAATTCTGAAATACAGCTTTGTTATTAGACAGCAGTACCTACTTAGTCATTGACTTTTTTGTTTTATACCTGTTATGTGTTCATTGGGTTCTCGTTTTTATATTCAGTTTATAGTTTTTTGTTGGTGCTTCATTTTACTTTATTATATATTTCCGTTACTAACTTCAATTTAGTCTGTTTTGGGTTGTCTTTTAAATATTAGCCATTGTAATTTGATTAATTTTTATCTGTAATTTGTTGTTGTAACCTTTAACCTCCTTCAGTAGGTTGTTATAAGTTAATAAATTGTTATTTGTTAAAAAAATCTTTCAACTCTCACAAATACCACGAACGCAAAGAGTTTATTGAAAGGGAACGTCTTTTTTGGACAAAAAAATCCGCGTCAAATACAAGATTATGTTTGCAATGTTAAGTTTCTAGAACGTACACGACCGCTTAATTCTGTGTTTTTTAATAATCATGTCGCATGTGAAACGCAGGAGACATTTTAGTTCGCCAATTCCTGTTTGCCGATCTTGAACTTTTTGTCAGGAATGCGATACAGACAAAGATTAAACATTTACGATACCTACCGTTGTCAAATCAACCAAGAGGCTCGAATCAGGAAGGCTTGGGTATTTCAAACTTCGTAAATAGCATTCATTTCAAGCGCAGACTTTATTTGAGTGTAATAAACGTAACTGAAATGTATTCACGAGCCATAATACTCGTACATTCTAAAGTTGCGACTTTCACTCTTGAAATTGGTGATAAATACTTGCATAAAATACTTGCATAAAATACAAACATATACCATTTTTCCTGCAACAACAATTCATATACAGCATTGGATTTATTTGATTTTTACGAGTTTCGACTTCAGAATGAATTATTTTTAGTGTCATATTTGAAATAGCGCGCTCGATGCAAGATGTCGGACGGGAAAATTGGGGTCTGTAAAAATGTTTGTTGGTTCAGTCAAGCAATGTGTGAACCAAAACACTGCCCACTATTTGAAACATCACCCATGGGCGGGGTTTAGGATGGGCGGGGTATCAGTCGAATCCGGTATGTGTGTCGTATGCTGACAGTGTGTGTGTCAGAGCCATGTAGTAGTATGTGTGTCATATGCTGACTGTGTGTGTGTCAGAGCTATGTAGTAGTATGCGTGTCATATGCTGACAGTGTGTGTCAGAGCTATGTAGTAGTATGTGTGTCATATGCTGACAGTGTGTCGGAGCTATGTAGTAGTATGTGTGTCATATGCTGACAGTGTGTGTCAGAGCTATGTAGTAGTATGTGTGTCATATGCTGACAGTGTGTGTCGGAGCTATGTAGTAGTATGCGTGTCATATGCTGACAGTGTGTGTCAGAGCTATGTAGTAGTATGTGTGTCATATACTGACAGTGTGTGT